GGCCCTCCCACATCACTCATCAATCAGAAGATGCCCCACAGACATGGCCACAGGCCAGTCCTATGGAGGCAATTTCCCAATTGAGGCTCCCTCAACCCAGGTGTGTCAAGCTGACACTAAAGCTATCCAGTACAGCTTCTCATTCAGTTAGGAACTCAGCCTTCTCCAAGGAGCCCTGGATTCTTTCAGAAATGTGTGCTATTTAAGAACCCTAAACTGAGCAGCAGGAGCACTGACTGAGGAACTTTTTAGTGGACAAGGCAGCATCTTGTTTTTTGTTTTGTTTTAATTTAGAAGATCTCGGGATAATATACTGGAAACTTCAAACCAATCCAGGACTACAAGGTTGTGGGGGAGGGGATCTCCAATCTAACACCTGTATCTCATTTCTTCCAGGTTCAAATTTCATGCAGGCTACTTTAATTATAACAGCTCTGGAGCCCCACCCCAGACCACATGAATGGGACTGGCTTAGTGAAGAATGGCAGACAAGATCCCCAGGGGAATTCCAGGGACTCCTGCAGCAACACATAGTCACCACTGTGGGAGGCTGCCCAGGGCTTGTGCCAGAACACACACTGAGAAATGTCTAGGGTAACCAGGTTGGTGTGGGGGAGACTTTTATCTTGAGGTGAAGAGTAAGTGAAGGAAGAGGAAGTTGATGACAGGACAGGACTTTCTAGAAGTATCGGGTGGTGAAGAGCTTGCCTTGCAAGCATCAGGACCTGAGTTTGATCCCCAGCACCCACTTAAAAAGCTGACGCCAGTGGCCTTGGCTTGTAATCGCAGGGTGGCTGGGGAGGCAGCAGGAGGATCCCTGAGGACTCAGTGGCCATCAGTCTTGCCCAAACGGCAAGTTCCAGGCTCTGGCAGAGACCCTGTCTCAAAAAATAAGGTGTGCAATAATTGAGGAAGACACCTGATGCTGACCTCTGACCTCTCCACACACATATTGTGTGGCACATGCACATACAAACATGTGAGCACACATGCAAATACACACCACACACATGCGCACACACACACACACACACACACACACACACACACAGCATAGCTGTAAGGAGAGGGGAACAGCGATCTGCAGTGAAATGAAGAACAAGTTAAACCCAATCAGAAGTTGGAGCTTTAACCTGTGGAAGCTCAGGTGGAAGCCCTGGGTGCCAGACACAAAAAGGAGTTCCAGAAGAAAAACGAATTGCTCGCTCGGCTTCCACTGGGCTACAGGAGGCTGGGGTTCTTTTGCAAACTCACAGAGTTGCTGTGATACAAAGATGCCCCTTGATCTAGCCCGCAAATCTAAAAGATCCAGATCCTGTGTCGCCTTCTCCTCCCTGCCGTGGACAGAGTTCCTGACGCAAGGGCTCATGTATGCACGCTAACAGTGACATGGGACACAGGGAAAAGTGGTTCTCAAAGCTCTGGGGGTCCTCGAGTCAAAGCTGTACCCACAGGCCTGTGAGATGGCTCAGTGGGTAGGGCACTTGCTGCCATGCCTGATGACCTGAGTTTGAGCCCCAGGCCCCATGTGGTGGAAGGACAGCATGAACTCCTGTGAGTTGTCCTCTGACCACACACACACCATGGCATGTATGCACACACACATACACAATAAATAAATAATGTAATAATTTTTGAAGCTGTTTTTACGAAAACACTAAAAATTTGTCCTGACTCAATTTTCCTGGGGCTTAGACTTGTGATAGCATGCCAGACTAAGCCAGACACACAAGGATTTCACTATCATCTGTACGCCAGATGTTAAAAAGAAATTCTCAAACATGTAAAATAATGTCACGCTTCTCAGTATTTTTTTTTTTTTTTTTTTTTTGAGCCAGGTCTCCCTGCAGCCCCAAATGATCTGGAACTTACTATGTAGACCAGGCTGGCCTTGAACTCACAGAGATCCACTTGCCTCTGCCTCTCAAGTGCTGGGATTAAAGGTATGCACCACCAGGCCCAGCCTCAGTATATTTTTTCAATAATGTAGTTTTTATTAAATGTATTGCTCTGTGATGGGTTATTTATTTTGTGTATGTACAAGTATGTTCATGGGAGGGGAACATATGTGAGCATGTGTATGTAGAGGACAAAGGTCAACCTCAGATGTTGTTCCTCAAGTGCTGTCCACCTTGTTTTGTGAGACAGGGTCTGGAGCTTGCCTGTTAGCCTAGGCTGGCTGGCCCAGCCCAGGTTTATTATTTTAATTGGCAGCGTTTCTCACTTTGAATTCCTAGTTTTCTACATACAGATCAACATACTGAGACCTTCAATCATTTGTAAGAGCATAAACAGGGTCCTGAGACCAGAAGCTTGAGACCTTATTGTGTAAAAGGATCTCAGAGCTAGAAGAACCAATGAGCTCACAGAAACCAGTGAGGTGACCCATGCTGCGGGCATGCTGGGTGCAGAGAAAGATCATCCTTCCCATAGGATGATGATCTTTCTCTGGAAGTGCTTCACGTCTGAAAGGTTAATAGGAAGGAAAGCTGGGGCTGGAGAGATGGCTCAGCAGTTAAGAGCACTCGCTGCTCTTGCAGAGGACCCCCAGGTTCAAATCCCAGAACCCACAAGGCAGCTAACCATCCATATCTCCAGTTCTAGGGGATCCGACACCCTCTTCTGGCCTCCTCAGGCACTTCATGACATGGGTGCGCCTTTCTACATGTAAGCAATACACTCATATACATAAAATAACATAAATGAAGTGAAAAAAAAAAAAAGAGGAAGAAAAGCCACGGATGCCCCCCAAAAGGACCACAAATACCACTTCCATTCAAACAGCCAGAAGGTAAACCTATAATCTACCTAATCCGGCCAACACCACAGTGCTTGGATTTCAGCGACCCCAAGACTGCTCATAACAGTAAAGGCAGGCAAAGAGGCAGTCACCAAGGCTGTCACTTCAACTCCTCATATATCTTCTAGGGAGGCAGTTCTGTCACTCATTAAAACTGCATGCACTCCCAGGACCATGTGTCTTCATGCATGTTTACCTGCCAGCCTAGTCTTTACCAGGAAAAGCTCAGGAATATTCATGCTGCAGAGAATAGCGAGTTTCAAGTACAAACCTTAATTAGACTCGAGTTTCTACAAATTTCCCTTGTGGTTTTTAACTCCTGGAAAGCAAATGTCTTTAATATTGACCTTATATAACACCTAGTCCTTACCTATATCAATGTGCTTGATAAATTCCATATCCCTTTCACAAGGCCCCTATCCTTTGGAGAGAGCTGCAGTTGTCTTTTTGAATCCCTCAAGACTGGACACCAGGGAGAATAATCATTTCTTTAAAACTACACCTCCACTACAGGCTTGAATTTGAAATGTGCATATATGGTTGTAAGAGCTCTCCAATAACTATGCAGATTTATGGTGATAGCAACTTAGGTTACACCATGGGACTCAACTAGGCCTTCCTTTCTGTGACTGGGGATTCCTTGGAGTCAGGATACAGTTTGGGGAGAAATGAGACTTATAGCTAAAGTTAGTTAAGAATCAACATATCTGGAGAGCTCTGACAGAAGGGTCCCTGGTAAAACATAATGAACAGACTCGAGAAGAAACGTCTAAAAGTGTAGCCAGGGGTGGGTGAAGCTTGAGTTCTAACTCCCTATTGTTCGATGATTTTTTAACAAACAAGTCAGCCTAATCGGCTGGAGGGGGCAGAAGATCAGCAGAAATCGATGATTTTAGTTTGTGTAGTTGGGCCCC